TCGCAATTGTGAGTTTATTTCATGCAGTTCGGAGAAAAAAGTGAGAATTCCTAGATGTAAACTTGCTAGGGGAAAAAAAACCTTGCAATTAGTTTATTTTTATTTTTAATCAGTGGCAGAAACGGGCTTCCATAGCAAGTAGACTTAATAAAATTAGTTTTTATTTTTTACTATTAACTCGGCCAATTACATAACACGGTTTGGTCACGTGATATCAACAAAGCGGCGCCCATGAGGGGACGACCCGCTCCACGTATTACAAAACAGACTAATATGTCTGCAGTATACATCTCTCGCGAGCGTTCGTGATTTTTTAATATTTTCAAAACCGCTGTTTATGTGAGTGCACCCTTAATACAGATCATCATCCAATAATTTATTATGAAGGTTAAAAGTCATCAGTGTTGCTCAAATGCTTTCTTATCTGCAGGTCTGGTTAATATAACACAACATTTCATTCAAACAGTTAGCCCAAGGGTTTTGTTTGCATCAAGTCACTCAGTAACTAGAAGGCAGTAAAACACCTGGTTTATGACACTCTTAGCTCTACAACGCGACTCACAAGAACGCGTCCATTATAATCCACTAGCAGTGTAGATGGGGTGTCAGTGTCATAAACTATAAAATGGATGTTATTGGCACTGACCTGTCTGGAGTTTCAGCGTTAGACTGTGCTGAGGTCGGTCGCTTAATATCCATCCTCTACTGTAGGCTTACAGACGGGCAAAATCACGCTATGTTGCACAGCCAACGCTCATCGTGTGTCTGGCTCTGCAAACGCTTTCCTCTAAAACTTTGTGACTCGCCGAGTCTCGAAATCATGAATCCTACTACCGTCGAAAGGAATCGCTCATGAATATTAATTAGGTCTGTGCTGCAGCAACCTTCCAATGGTGATGGTTTGCTCCTGAATATTAATTAGGTTACGTCGATCGTTTCCAATCGCAAGGACTCCGCTCATGAATATTAATTATCAGTCTTCAACGCCACGCCAGCGCTAATATCTACTACGTTACCCAAAATGCAACAGGCAGGCAATGTTTAGAAATCATTTAATATACCCTTATTACATAATACGGCTTAAAAATAATATAATAACAATTATTTAAAAAAAAAACATTTTGAGGAAAAAAAGCGAACATGTTAATAGCATTGTGTGGGGGTTAACGGACCGGTGAATGCCCATCTGGCTTCCTCCAAATCCAAATCCTCTCTAAATCCCAAATCCTGGCTTCTCAGCGATGCCCAGGTAATGAGGAAAACAGAAATAAGATGAACTATGCGCGCATAATGTAAAATGTATTGATCCATTTTGAAGTGTTGAATGCTCACTTCCCCTGAAATAACACGTAGGCCTACATGTTTGTGTACCATTTTAATGTTCCAAGAGCCCTGTTACCTCATCATTAGAAATGTAACAAATGCCTTTTTTATATTTCATGTTGCAAAAACAACTTGCACACATTACATAGGATTGCAAATCTCCAGGGAGGCACATCTCAGACACAAATACACAACTGAATACTTTGCTTCACTGTTACGGATGAGACGGAGCAGAGGGCAGGAGATGAACTGGGATGTGTACCGTCCACACGTCTTTATGGCCCCTAGAATATATTGGTTCACTGAGCCACCGGGGGTTTGAGAGTCTTGTGAGGTATTTCATTTTGAGTTCAGTCAAGCAAGCTGCTGTTTCCAGCTCTCTCATCTCTTCACAGGGAATATCCTCAGGACAAC